ATCGCTTAAATTTTTTTAGAGTATTCAGTATCCACCCTGCATATATATTGTTAATAACTATATACATATAATTAAACATAATGTTGACAATTAGATCTACTTGTTTCAGTTGCACTTTTCCTATTATCAATATTGTACATTCATTTCATTGTACGTTTAAAAATATGAGAAGGTGCACGCGAAACAAGTAGACACGGAACAGTGAACAAGCTACATACGGGATCATCAAATGCAGATCCTAGACATTGCAATATATTCGGCTCTTCGTTCGCGTACAGGATCAGTGGTTTATGCATAACACTCGGCGATCCGTAGCATGCAAGCGCGTCGTGCACGTTGGAGAACGGAGTGGAGGTTGGGATCGTGATGCTCTGACCACGACAGTGACCCCACATGTAGACACGTCCTCCCTCACCGACGGCGACGCTTATGTGATTATAGTGCATAGCGGCAATGTCGGATACCCTTCCCATTTCGTGCTCGACCTAATAGCAATTATTGATGACGTTCTTCTATTTTCCTTTCTTTTTTGTTCGTTCCTTATTTTTTTTATAACGATATGAGTATACCATGACTGGTTTGCAGGAATTCGTCTTGTTGCCGATTCCCAACTGGCCGTAACTGTTTCCGCCCCAGACGTAGAGCTTCCCTTCGTCTGTGAGCGCCAACGTGTGAGCGTATCCACAAACTACTTTGACTAAAATGATACCGATTGCTCAGCGATCCCGTTTTGCATTCGTTCTCTTCTTCCTTTACTTCTTTAATGAATCGAGAATTACCTATCACAATACCTCTCAACGAACCGACTTGCCATGGTGATGTCTGATTAGCGTAGTTACCTATTCCTAACTGGCCGACGCCGTTATTGCCAAAACCATACACCTCACCATTTTCAATGACCACCATGGTAGAAGTCTGGCCACATGAGATGCAGACAACTTTCTTCCCACCTAAGACGGAGTTCACTTGCCTAGGTGTAACCTGATTTGTGCTGATACTGCTGCCCAGTTGTCCACAATTATTTTGTCCCCAAGCATATACCTAAACCGAACCAGCTATTCAGCTCATAATAACGAAAGATTATCGTCATAATCATTTCAATACTTTACCTCGCCATCTTCGGTCAGAGCGACGGAATGGTGACTCCCACACGCGATGTCGACAACACGCTTCATGCCTAGACCTTCAAGAATAGGCATGGTCACTAGAATAGGTTTTGTGACAACCTGATTCGATGCTCCGATTCCTAGTTCGCCATAACCATTGTGACCCCAGGAATACACCTATCAAAGACATTACTGTCACCGATTATCACAAATGCATCACTTGATTTGTCAATTCCATAAAGTCTTTAGCAAAAAAATTCTTCAGAATTGTTTTATGCATCGATAATAAACAATTAAAAAGAAACATTCTAATATGTCTTTTTGTACAAATATAAATACATTAACTATTTATCTTTAGCTTTACAAGATTACCAGAGTAAATCTTAGTGCTTAACAAATTTAATAAAAATAATCATTAATAAAAATGGAAATAATGAGTATTCTAAAGAAAACGAATTAGAATTATATACATCCATGGCCAATAATTTATTCCTTCCTTAATAAAGAAAGTTAATAAAGAAAGTTTAACCCCGGATCTACAATATGTAATGGACGAATCACAGTCAATTATTCTCCTCGAATTCGAGTGTAATTGGATAATTTCTTATAGCTTAAGGCTTAAAACTCTATTGTAGATCCGGAGTAAAAGATGTTTACCATGTTCTATTACAAAAATCATATGTATATAGAAATAATATATAGAATATCACAAAATAAATATACATACATGATTCTCGCAGTAGAGGATAAGCATCTTTCAAACTTGCTTTACTAAATCTAATCAAATGTATTCATAGTTGGTTCTTATATTTAAGATTGCCTCAAATATAATCTTAAATATTATGAACCAATCACAGCATTAACATCTTGAGATATACTTAAGACAATCTTAAAATAAAAATCGACTAGGAATACCAGCCTAGAAAAGGAAGATTCATTGAAATATGTTGTAGGTTTCAGACAGATGAGATATTACACAAGCTGGTATTCAATCAGTTCTCAATTTATGATCTTCTTAAGTAATATTTTAACATGCTAATACAGCTAGCTTCGAGATGGATTTATTATGTTTTAAGACTGTACTTAAGGCAGTCTTAAATATATAAGAACTGACTACGAATATCAGCTACAGACGATTGACTTGTACTCCAAGATATAAAAAATCCAAGCTTACTTCTCCTTCCTTTGTGAGCGCTAAAACATGAGGTCCGCTACCATATGCGAACGTCCTTATGTCTCTTTCGCACAAAGCTTCCACCTTCTTAGGATACAGAGTACCGTGCGTGTCCCCGATTCCCAAACAACCAGCGATGTTGTTACCTAGAGCATACATCACCTTGTCTTTCGTCATGATTAAGGCTTCATTACCCAAGTTACCTGTTTTGAAATATAAGGATAAACAACGCTGCCAAACCAAGTATGCTAATGGAAAAGAAGAGGATGAATTACCGTATACCACAACCATATGAATCTGCGAAACGAACTCCGGTTCCAGTAAACTGAAAATCGGCCAGCTACGTAGGTCCGAGGTGCACATGTTGCCTGAATCAAAATCAAATCACTTTTTTGTATCGTAAATACTTCGTTTCGTTCCTCGGCGGTACTCGTTTAAGGTACCTTTTCATACTGATACTCGACACTCATTTTCAGCGTCTAAATAGGTCACGTGATTAAATTGACGCTTGACATTCGTCAATTTCTGTCACGTGACTTATTTTGACGCCGAAAATGAGCGTCGAGCGTCAGCATGAAAAGACACCTTTATAGGCGTATCAAGTGGATTACGATTTCTCATGTCATATGGGAATCCCAGTTATTATCTTCAGTTATAGTTTTGACATCGCCATCGCCGCATCCGCCGTCACTATAGCTATAAGCAGAGAGAAACCTGAGAGAGGCCATGCCGGCCTTTTTCCTGTTGCCGTCGAAATTGCCCGTACACTACCGCCAGGACATCCATTTTCAGTTTGGGAACTACGTGACAGTGGCTGCGTTCAGCAGAGAAAGCAGCTTTGCAACTGTTGTAAAATTCTTCAATATGACTGGTTTATACGTTTAGACGCGCGTCAAGAACCAGTGTTGCCAGTATTTTAAAAAATAATGTCGCCTAATTCATAGGTCTGTTCACGTTGCTTGCACTTTTGGCACTCAGCATCTTCGCTGTCTCTCTTTTCAAGGCCAAATATATATCTATCTCATTTTAAGTGCAAAAATATTTGGGGATTTCATGCAACGCGAACAGACCTCATGGCTCGTGGTAGCCAAAATCGCCTAATGGCCCTAAATCTATTGAATTACCAAATAGTGACTTTTCCTAAATGAAAATAATAATGAAGACGTCATCCCCAAATAATTTCTAATCGATTCCATTCATAAAACACATTAAATAAAATCGCTGTCTGTTAACTTGACGCATGATAAAATTTGTTAATTACAAGAAAAATACTATTTCCTAAATGTTTAAATGCTTTTCCCAAATTTCCCCAAACGATTCCTAAATTATATAGACATAAATAAATCAGAAATATTCAATTTGTCTGCTATCTTGTCAGTGGTACAATCAACTATCAACTAGTATGTACAGCGCTTTTATTACAGCCTGAGTATTATTATCAATAGACAGAATTGTGTGTTACCATCGGCTTGTCGGTAAAAGCAGTATTCTGTATTACCAACAAAAGGTGCAGCTTTTTAATAAAATTATGATACAGCAGGTGCTTTCCAATTGCAATAAAATATATCTTTAGACATTTTTATGCACAAATTACGTTCTAATTGCCGTAATTGTCAACACAATCTGATAATACAAACAGAATTCGTAAGCATACTGTGAAAGTATATATTCTCAGTAAAATTAATATTTATATGTTAAATTAACGTCTTTTATTTATCTAGAATTTATGTTTTAAAACACATTTTTGTATTATTTGTACACTTATTCGTAAACTGTGTTATTTTGACACTAAGAAATATTGAATATTGATTATATAAAAATATTTAAATATCATAATCACATTATATGTAAAATTATAATACTTAAATATGTTGAAAATTCAACATAATTTTAACAAGAACTTGAATGAACTGTTTCCAATACAAATGTAAACACACGAACGCACATATATAATAAATTTTTATAATAATTTTGTACAATTAATCTATGGTTTTTTTTAGTAATTAATTAGTATTAGAAAAAATTTTAACACTTTTTTGTTCGAGATATAATTTTTAATAAATAATAAATGATAACTAAAAAATAAAATGAAAAATGCTTTATTAGAAACTATATAATTTTGTTCTAGAAAAAAAAGTATTGCCCAGAAGTCTTAAGAAATAAAAAAAAGAGGTTCGTTACTATTATAATGTTTCAGTTCATAAAGGCAATAGTCGGCTTAAACTATAATATAATGTGCTAGTAAAAATTGTAATTATAAAAATTATAAAATAATCGTAACTATAAAATTTTTGGAAGTCTTCTGAGCACTATCAGCTCGAGCATTTTTAAAACATTTACTTAAAGATAAATCGATCTGTTACGCTAATAATCGCACTATCACAGATATAAGATTATGATTTGTCTCAATGAATGGCGTTATTCTTTTTTCCATGAGAATTTTAAGATAAATCTCAGGTACTTTTGCAAGATTGCAAGATCTTTCTCACACTCTTCGAGATGAGTCAAGGAATCTCTCACGTGAATTATTTATCAGAACGCGCAATACAATTGATACAACTGGACACTTCGAGTCCCTTTATCATTTACACGAACTGTTATTGAGGAAATAAAATGTTTGGAATATTTCGTCAGAATACGCGATTCTATATATATTGCGAATATTCATGTAGCAACTGACATCCAGCAATTTTCGTTCATTCATATCGAAGCGCATTGTTTTTAAGGCAGATAGACTTAATATTACATTTTAAATACACCAGACTTGCCTATCTTAATTATAAAAGTTTTTAGCGTATTTTCATCCAAATCTGCGAAACTTTTCGTCTGTGTCACAGCCGTCATATGATTAATAGCGAACCTAATACAAAATTCTTCCAGTTCCTAAAACATTACCAAATTCAATTATTCCATGCGTATATAAATACAGCAGTTAATGAAATGTTATTAAGCGTTAATAATGACAATGTTTAATTACCTCCTCATTGTATTGAACTGCAACGCTGTACAAGTAGGCAACGTTCGACACGCTAATTCCCTGCTTTATTATCCGAACGCAGTACTTCTTGAGGTTGCTCTCGCAGAAAACATCAGCCAGGTTCATTAGTTCTATAATGAAAGACATTGTTCTGACGCTCATAAAGGTCGATAATTGATTTAAACGATGTATTCGACTTACCTATCGCCTTCTCCGTAGGTAAATTGATTATGCCAGTGTATAAGTATTTTAGGAAGGCTTTGTAAATGACGTAGGAAAATTGATCAAACTCAATAACACTGTCAAAATGAGCAAAATTTGATAATTTTTAATAAAAATAGCAATGATCCTTTGTTGAATAATTACCTTTGATTGTTTTCCGCCCAATCATGCTGAAACATGTTTTTAAAATACAAACAGCGGATCTTCAAAATAGCCTTATGCACAAAAATACTTTGGCCTTCCACTTGTATTGTAAGATCACTTGTATGCTATATCAGGACAAAAATTGTTAGAGACAAATGTATGCAATATTAACTGAGTACACAAAATATTTGTCGCATTTAGGAATTAAAATCGAGAACAGAATATATTACATAGTTTTATAAATTAAAAATGCTCATCCTTAGCCTGAGTATTTTTTTCCATTTAAAAGAAGTTCCTTGAATTTCTATTAAAAAGACTCAAGCAAAGAACTGTCTTATTATTCGTGCTTTCCGACAAGAGACATACTATAACACAGTGCTCACATAGCACGTAATAACATGGTAACATCGCAGCAATATTGCAATATTTCAGAAATATTACAATATAATATTTTAGAAATATTACTGATGGATTACATTTGATAATCAACATTGAAATATCACAGTAATATTGTGGCAATATGATATCTTAAGTAGCAGAGTGACATTATAATTAATAACGCTTTTATTATAGAGATGTCATTAAGACATTTTAAAATATCATAAAATTATACGTTACACACACATAATCTTATAAGTGATATTTAGTTTATTATAACTTTTTCAATTTATAACATTATATAATATAATAGTTATTTTGTATTGACAATATTATTTTTTTATTAATATTATATGAAATAATTTTTAAAATGACATTAAAAATATAAATTCAATAAATTTTTTAAAAGTTCTTTAAAATGTCTTAATTTTTCCCAATAAATGTTACATAAATATAAGCATTACATAAATATTACAAAATATTACATAATATTACAATATTTCTGTGATATATTGTGATTATTATGACATCTTAATAATATTTCAATAATATTTCTGCTAGATTTCATTGTAACATTGCAATGGAAAAATGATATTGCTGTGATATTACTGTGATATGATGTGCTATGTAGATGATTATTTTATCTTTAATCTATATCAAGACAAAGAATAAGACAAACATACTTCGTCATCGAATGAATTTCCCAGGCATTCCAATACGCTCGGCTCTTCGTTATTGTAAAGAATTAGGGGTTTGTGCATAACGCTCGGCAATCCGTAGCACGCAAGAGCGTCATACATGTTCGAAAACGTAGTGACAGTTGGAATTGCGATGCTCTGACCACGGCAGTCACCCCATATGTAGACACATCCTTCCTCGCCGATGGCGATGCTTATGTGTTTGCAATGTACAGCCGCGATGTCGGATACCTTTCCCATTTTATGCTCAACCTGATAGTACAAAGTATCGATTATATTAACTTTTGCTTTTTCTTTTTGTTTTCTATTTCCTTTATAATGACAGTAAATATGAGTTTACCATGATTGGTTCATAGGAGCACACTTTGTCATTGAGGCCCAATTGACCATAATTGTTTCCACCCCAAGAAAAGAGGCTCCCTTCATCCGTAAGCGCTAGCGTGTGCTCGAATCCGCAAGCCACTTTGACTGAAAAAAATATTGCTTGCTCAACAAACCGTTTTTCTTTATCGTTATTTTATTAATTCTTTTGTTTTATCCAGATAAGAATTACCTATTACAATGCCTTTCAGTAAATCAAGCAGGCACGGCGTCGTTCGATCTTCGTCATCACCTACACCCAGCTGGCCAACACAGTTACTGCCCCAAGCAAATACCTCGCCATTTTCGACGACCGCTATGGTAAAGGTATCACCGCAAGAAATGCAGACAACCTTCTTCCTAGCTAAGCTGAAGTCCACTTGCCTAGGTGTGCTTTGATTTATATTGTCATCGTTACCGACTTGCCCGAAATTATTTAATCCCCAAACATATACCTAAATCAAACCAAGTAGTTATCTAATATAGCTCGCAATAACGTACGGTTAGCATTATACTGGAACTTTTGCATACCTCGCCAAACTCGGTCAAAGCAACAGAATGGTGACTCCCACACGTAATGTCCACGATGCGCGTAAGACTCACAGAATTTCCTAGAGTGGGCACTAAAGTAGGCATGAGAACTGAATTACACGTTCCGTGTCCCAGTTCGCCATAATTGTTGCGACCCCACGAATATACCTTTTGAAGACGATATACTGTCAATAATTCTAATGTCTCAAAAATACATTGATTTGGCAATTAATATAAAACGAAATAAAATCTCTGATAATTCGTTTGAACTGTTAGAAGCGATGAAGAAAAATTCAAATATCCTTTTGTAAAAATATAAGCACGTCAACACTATTTTATTCTTAGCTACAAGAATCCAAAAAAACTTAATGCTTAACAAATTCGTATTTAACGAAAATTATGCGTTTCAAAGAGAGGATCAGAATTATATACAGTCTTGATAAAAAATATTAGATACTTATAATTTTTTCATTCATTTGGAAATCTTTTATCTGCATTGCCAATGTTGTCATTTATTGATTACTAGCGTTATATACAAGTTTAAAGAATTCTTGAAATAAAGGATAATTTACAATAATAATTAGCAAATGCTATAAATCAATTCTTGAACTAAAACTAAATAATGATTAATAAAGTGCTCAATATTTTTGTTGTATATTCTAGAGAAGTAAGGTGTTACAAAAATATCAATTAAAATTTTTTTTTCACTTGTACTCCAATATCAACATCGTAACGTACTTCTCCTTCCTTCGTAAGTGCGAGAACGTGAGGCCCGTTGCCATAAGCAAATGTCTTCACATCCTTCTTGCAAAGGGCTTCCACCTTCCTCGGATACAATGTGGAGTTTGTGTCCCCTGTTCCTAAACAACCATCTAAGTTGCTACCCATGGCGTACACCATTTTATTCCTCATCACCATCAAGGTCTCCCTACCCGTTTCACCTGTCGTCAAATAAGATAAGGTAACGAGTGTTTCATCCTTTGTAATTTTACGAAATTTCTGATAAAACTCGTTTCAACTGTTTACAGTCTTGGTCAGAAATATTGCACACCTATCAATCATTATTTAAAGTTTCAGCTGAACAATTGATTTATATAACATTTGCCGTAAATTATTCTTTGTTTCAAGAATTTTTCAAACTTATGTACAATACCAGTAACTAATAGGTGACAATAACTAAAAATAAAAAATTTCTAATGAATAAAAAATACAATATTTTCAATCAAGGCTGTTTTTATTGACTTCGCAAATTTATCATTACCGTTTTGTTACTCTGCTGTAATAACGTCTTCGTTACTTTAGAAAGGAGACGTGAGCCATTACGATTGGAAGTTGAAAGTTTAAGCAAGTACGAAAGGCAAAAGAAAACAGTGAATTACCGTATACTAAAACCATGTGAATCTGCGAAATGAAATCCGGCTCCAGTGAACTAAAAATCGGCCAATTACGTAGATCCGAGATGCAATGGACGCACATATTGCCTTATGAGATTGCTTCAAATTCACTCCGATTATCTTTAGTCGCCTCTTCGCAAACGCTTTATTTTGTTCCTTAGTACCTTTCTGTAATCACGCATTCAAGCATTACGACCTCTCATATCATTGACCGTGTTCAGCAGAATGTTTATTTTACAACTGTTGGAAGTTCAATAATTCGCTGGGATAGAACTATTGCGCCAAATTTAAAAATATAATTCAACCTATGTGAAAAAATATCAAACAGTTGCAAAATAAACATTTTGCTGAATGCGGCTATTAATTGGAGAAAGAAAAAGGGAAAAAAATAAAACAATGACGTTATATTCTGTTATCTATTATTGTCGACAATTAAAGCGAATAATCAAGACCAATGAGAACGTGCAATTTTTAATAAAAATCATAATCATAATTATTTACATGTAATGAAAATTATTTAACATTTAACCGGTTGCCATATTCTCTGCAATTTTCGTTCTTTGAAATAAAGAAAATTACTGAATATTATATTTTTAAAATTGTAGAATATAAAAGTACAGTAGCTTTGTAAAGATTTTAATTGTAACATAATAAAAAAAATCGCGAAAGTAAAAATGTTTGAAAAATGAGTTAAAAATATATAATTTTTTAATTTTTATACAAAATTTATGACTATACGACACTTTCTGAAAAAAAATAGTGCAATGGTTCACCTCCCCCATCCCCCTAAAAAATACTCTGAAAACTGAAAAGAGGTTATCCTTGAGAAAAAAAGAATGTGAAATTATTGTATAACTATAAAATATAAAAAATTCACTATAAGATTTATTATACTATAACAGAGATATACTAATTAGAGACAGGCCTTTAAAATTATTTTAGATTTAATTTGACTCCGTGTAACCACAAACGATTAAAATTTTAAGTAAATTTTACATATTGGAAAAAATCGTAATATAATGATGTACAATATCAAATGACAAACTACAAGAGTTTCCTCAACCGAACTCTTCTAGCAAAGCATTGACAGTACAAACTGTTAGAAAATGTTAAAAAAAATTTATTACATTCTACAAGCATATTATTTATATTTTTCAAAATTTATACTGCTGACAAAACAAAATAAATTACAAATTTCCTGACATGACACAGCGAACTTGTCAATGCCAGAGGTCTTAGATTCGATTCTGATAGAAACCAAAATATCTTTACAGTTTTATTTTATAGGCATATAACTAATGTAAATGTACTTTAACATAACATACTGATAAAAATATAATAATGAAAATATTTTTTTGGCATGTAAAGAATATTCTACCTACTAACTTAAATATATATCCTACCTATTTAAAAACTAAAATAAATTACTAAATAATTCATTAGACTGACAATACGTAATGAATAAGACGTTTTGATGCTCACATTTGTTTTTAGCAGGGTTGTGTAGTGTGGAGAATTAAAAAAATAAAAGTTAAGTTAAAATGTTAAAAAGTTAATTAATTTTAACTTAACTTAGTTATATTTTAGATTCTTAATTTTTTAACTTAATTTATATTTTAAGTTACATTTTATCGGTAACTATTAACTTTTAATTTGATTTCTTTTTAAGTTAATCCTCAGACACAATGCGAGAGGATAATAAATATATGATTTAGTAATTTTATATTGTATAATCGTTACTTGTGAAAAATAACTAGATTCTTTAATAAATATACTGTGAGAAAGGAAAAACACGAAAAATTATGTATAATGGTCAAACTTTTTCTTTTTCTTTTTTTTTTATTGTTCAGATCAAATTTAACTTTTAACTTTTCAATTACTTTTTTTATTAACTTAACTTTTAATTCAATTAATTTCATTATGGATTAACTTGCATTTTAATTAAGATAAATTTTCAAGGCTGTTAACTTTAACTTAACTTAGTTAAAAAAAAAAGTTAACTTACCCAACCCTGGTTTTCAGACATAAACATAACTGTTAAGCGGATGCTGGAGCCGTCTGTATTATCGATAAAACTAGCATTTTTGACGTCTGTATTACCGACTAATCATAATTTTTGTATAACAATTACATTTTTGCTCTTTTATAGATACGAAAATCCTTTTCCAGGATTAAAGTATACGCATTAATACGTATCTGTGAGATGGAGTTTATGCCGAGAACGATAAAAAATTTTTCTTGAGACTTCAATTTCGAAAATTTTTGTCGTTTTCTGAATAAATTCCACCTCACAGACACGTATTAATGTATATACTTTAATCCTGGAAAAGAATTTTCTCGAATTTGTAAAAGAGGAAAAAAATTAATTCTTGCAAAACACGTAATTTCGTTTTAAGAGAAATATTTTTTTCTACGCTTTGAATCTTAATTCCACAAACTGAGTATTGTTCGTTCAAGTAATCTGAATCTCGCCTCACGGTTATTTTCGATCTACAAGCTAAAACTTTTATATCAAGCAAATGTTAACCTCAGGTAACAGTTGTACGTGTCAGAAAAAGTGAATTTTTTAATTTTTTCCGATTTTATCGTGAAATCGTGTTTTCCGGAATTCCTTTTTATGCGTTCTTTAACTTTGTAAAAAAATTTTGCAATCCGTAAAGCCAATTCAGAGATTTCTCCTAAAACGTAATCATGGTAAAATAGGACATTAGCATCCTTAAACAGTGTCTACAATAAAATTTTAAGGCACAAGATAACTTTTAAGACATACATTGTAAAAAACTAACTCTTCATAGTCGTATATACCCCTCACATTCATCTATATTTTGTTTAATTTATTAGGACTTGAGGCTTGAAAACAAGCTTTAAAACTTAAAATCTCATTCAAGACACCGCTTTATGAAGACAACGTCATTACAGACACAATTGATTTATTCTCTAAGCGAGCGGCGATTTTTTTTCTACGTTTACACGAATTCTACGAGAGAATCTCGGGTATCTTTACACGATTACATTGTCTGAAAGCCATAAAAAAATCTCTCGCACGAATTTATTAGAACGCGCAAGATAGTTTGCACGATTATACTTCATCGCATTCATTTATTACTTACATGAAAAGTTAATAACGAAATGCAGATAAGAAAAAAACTAACTCAATATTTCATTAAAATACACGATTATAAAATACCGTATGGGGAGTATTCGCGCAGCAACAGAGCTAGCGATATCTAGCTAGAGATATCTAGCGATATCAAACCATTTTCGGTGAGGCGCAATGTTCTTGAGGTAAACAGATTACGTTCTAAACAAATTACTTGAGGCAAACAAATTACGTTTTAAAACCTCCAGCTTTGCCCGCCTCTATTATGAATATTATCATGTGTTTCGGGTCAAGCTTGGCAAAATTTTCCGTCAGCGTCACAGCCGTCATGTGATTTCTGGTGAACTTGACGCAGGACTGTTCTAACTCCTAAAAAATTATCAATAACATTAAAATATTATTTAATATGCATATAGATAAATAAATATTGCTGATAATGGAATGTTAACCTTCCATCGGGCGCGGTTTGACTTTTAGCATGATCGGGCGCGGTGGTATCAAATTGATCGCATTAACTATTTTGTTAAAACTATACTACAATTATATCAAAACATTAAATATTAAGTAAATTTTATTCACAAAATAAAACGAAAAGGTAATATAAGGCCATATAAATAACACAAACGTAATTTCATTTATATAAAAACTGAAACATTAGTTCCTTTAGAAACATTTATAATCTTATTCAAACCCTACACAAATAAAAATAAATATATAGACAATATAAACAAAATAAATTCTAAAGAAGGAAAACATTAATATCATATATAAAAAATTAATTAATATACTCGTAGAATGTGGATTCATCTCTCTTATTGTTTATTTTCTAGCAATTCTTTGCTACAAATTGTACAAAAACGTTCAATAAGCATCAAGCATGTAGGCTTATTGCACTTCATGCTAAAGGAGGATGAAAAAGGGAAAGTTATTGTGAGAAACGAAGTGGCTGCGATCCGATACGTGGACATGGGTAAATAAAACATGTGCCGTGTGTATCACTCAGATCGGCCGCGCCCGACGGAAGGTTAATGAGCGTCAACAACGTTTGAATACCTCCTCGTTATATTTGACTCCAATGCTATATAAGTAGGCGACATTCGGTACGGTAATTTCTTCCCTTAGCATCTGAATACATTTCTTCTTAAGATCCCCCTCGGAGTATAAGTCAGCCAGTTCCAAAAGTTCTGTAATGAGAAACATTGTTTTAAACGTGAGAGCAGGTTGAAAATAGTTTATGGTATACTTGACTCACCTACCACCTGTTTCCAGGATAAATCGACTACGTTGGTGTACAAGTACTTCAGGAAGGCTTTATAGACGATATAGGAAAATTGATCAAGCTTAATAATACTGTCGGGAAAGAAAATATTAACGAAATGAGGAAATTTGAGAAGTCTTTAACGTCTTCAGACATGACTTTATTGGAACTATAATAAAAAAATTTTTTTCAAATTCAATTTACGCGTATTTAAACACATAATTCATATTAAACAGTTAATTTTTTCCAAAATTTTGACTATTTTTTCAAAATATACAGTATTATGTATAATACATCAGATCTTAGATGATGTCAATAGAATTAAATAATTTCAATATAATAATGTCTTCAAATATGATGTACACTACAATGTCCACTGACAATGAGTCTGAAGGGGTTAATATAAAGTATTGCTCTTTAAATCATTACGTACTTCTGGTTGTTTCCCATCCAATCGTGCTGAAATATGGTTTTAAAGTACGAAGAGCGGATCATCAAAATAGCCTTATGCACGTGTATAAATTGGTTCCCGACTTCTATTGTAAGGTCGCTTGTCAACTATATAAGAAATGAAGAAAAAGACAAATGCGTACAAAATAAGCTTAATATAATTCCCTATTCGTCACATTTTTCGATTAAAATTGAGAATCGTATTAATCAAAGTGCTCGTCAGCTTCAGTACTTTTTTCCCACATGTTCAGACTTTTTGAAAATACAATTTCTTTTCAAAACTCAAAATAAAAATATATAACAAAAACAGGATGTAACAAAAAGTAATAAATATAAACCGTTGCAATGTTAGTATACATAAATGCAGTATTTTGATCCTGAATAAAAATTATATATGTAAATTTGATCTATTTATTTTAATTGCAAGTTTCTTTATAACAGTATCATTGACTGAATTCAGAAGACAAAATCGCTCAGCGATTTAATTGCTTTATATACATTGACCAGCAAAAACCAGTTATTAACCATTCTAATTGTTCACTAAGCGATTTTATCTTTCGAAAGTCATTCAGTTCATTTATTATTTCATATATTTAGAAAATGTGAAAAAGTATAAGCAGAACAAGCAGAAACCGTAAAAAGAATAAAACATACGAGATCGTCGAATGCAATTCGCAGACATTTCAGTATGTCCAGCCGCGACTCTTCGTTCACGTTCAGTATCAGCGGTTTGTGCATAGCACATGGCGACCCATAACATGCAAGCGCATTGTGCACGTCCGAGAATGGAGTAATGATTGGAATCATGATTGACTGTTCACGGCAGTTACCCCATACAAAAACACGTCCTTCATTGCCGACGGCGATGCTTATGTGACTATTAAATACAGCGGCAATGTCGAACACTCTTCCCATTTGATGCTCGACCTGGTGATGTAATAATGTTGATCATGAAATTCTATACTTTATTCTTTTTTTTGTCTGCTTTATGATAATGACGATAAACGTAAGTATACCAAGATTGGTTTAAAGGAATGCGTTTTGTTGCTGATCCCCAACTGGCCGTAATGATTATCACCCCAGGAGTATAGGTCCCCTTTGTCCGTGAGCGCCAGCGTGTGATGGTACCCACAAGCCACCTTAACTGAAAAAGTACCGATTGCTTAACAACCCCATATGGTTTTACCATTCTCTTATTACTTTGTTGCTTTCTCGAGACGAGAACTACCTATCACAATTCCTTCCAATGAATTGATTCGACATGGCTTCTCTCGGTCGTGAATATGGCCTACACCCAGCTGACCATAACCGTTATCACCCCAACCATATATCTCGCCATTTTCGATGATCACGATACTGAAGCCCTGACCGCAGGACACGTAGACAACTTTCTTCCCAGGCAAGACATCAAACTGTATAGGTGTATTAATCGGTCTGCCTTTTTTTGATTCAAGTTCATCATTTGATGAAACTTCTCGACAAAGGTGACACCAAGTATACACCTAAATCAAACTGGCTATTTAGCAACTTATGATAATGGAGGGTGAGTATTGACACTTTGCTTACCTGACCATGCTCGGTTAGAGCGATGAAATGGTCATACCCGCATACTATGTCCACGACACGATTCAGACTCAGATTGTCTTCCAAAGGAAGTATTTTCATTAAACTAGGCGAACTAGTTTCAAGGTCATCTGATTCTGAATCATAAGAATGACGTGAATCACTTAATTCCTCATAGATGTAACGGCAGAAATATACCTGTGAATGATAGAAAAATTAAAGGTTGACCGAGATCTGTGAACTTATATTTCTCCATATTCCAGTATGGGATTTAAGACATATACTTACACGACTGGCTCATTCATGGCTCGCAATTCGTCGCGCCTACACATATCTAAGTTACATCCCAATTAATGTTCACAACACGCTCTATAGTATATTTTGTTGTCATAAAATGTTAAATAAGGATGAAATGAACATTAATTAGAACGTACTCTAATTGGCTTTATATAATAGATCTATATACTTGTTTCTTTTTACAATGTTTATATATTTTCTAACATACCGTTCAAAAATATTGCTACCATTGTTTTTACGTTTTAAGAACGCGTCGCTTGATTTAACAGTTTTATAAGATATCTGGCAATTATTAGGGTTGCGCTGAAGGCATCAAGAGATGTAAAAAAAAATTCAATGTTCATTGTATAAAAAAAATTCCATCAAGAGTCGGTTACTTTTATCTTTGAATAAACTATGTGATAATTTATCCAATAATATAATGGATAAACAAATCAAAGAAATAATGGATAAATAAATAATGTAAGAAATAAGCGACAACACGAGGCTCCAGGATTCAAATAGAGATCTTTTCGCCTCCATACTATTATTACTAGCCATCCGTCTTCGTCATCATCAGGATATACAGCCCTGACGCTGATACCTTCTCTCTGTTGTGTCTACTTCTTCTAAAGTTCTTATACAAAAGAGTGAAAGAGTAAGAGTATACTCTTACACAAAAGAGTGAAAGAGTAAGGAATAAAGGAGTGATCTAAAGTTTTTAGCAAAAGATGGAACAATCAAGCTTTACTACGTATGTACACATCTTTCAGCTATCTTAAAAGATTAAAACTTAACGATTAACAAGATCACATTTAGTGATAATTATGTGTATTCCAAAGTGAACAAATTGAAATTATATATTCTAGAAAAGACCGGTGTTTCCCTTCAAGGACACTGGTAATAAAAATTCACTAACGACTTTCTAACATACATTTCCTTCCTTTGTAAGTGCTAGAACATGAGGTCCATTGCCACATGCGAACATCTTTATATCTATCGTGCACAGGTCCTCTACCTTCTTGGGATATAGCGTGGAGAACGTGTCTTCAGTAAATAAACAACCGTAAATGTTGGTCCCCAAAGCATACACCATTTTGTCCCTCGTCACGATTAAGGCATAATCACCACAATTACCTGTTTCGAGAAGTAAAGAGAACTACACTACAAAGCGATTACAGTAGAGAAGTAAAGAGAGGTAATTACCGTAAACCATGACCATGTAAATTTGCGAGACAAACTCCGGCTCCAGTGAACTGACTATACGCCAGTTACGTAGGTCCGAGAGGCATATATCGCCTCTCGCGATCGTCTCTTCGTAAATGCTTCGTTTCCTTCTCCACCAAGATAAAAATTAAAATATCGTTGCAAATTTTTATTTAATAAGCATGCAATTAATGTAAATGTAACGGTAACATAACAATACTAGTATGAATATAATTATTTTACTCAAATAACGTCGTCATGGATATAAAAATTGAGATTGTTTCAGAGAGTAGTTTCTTTTTCTATGTTTATGCGAACTCTAAAAAAATCTCAAGCACGTTTGCAGGAACACAATGTCTGAGAATGAAGAAGAAATCTCTCGCGCCAATTTATTAAAACACGCGAGATAACGTGCATCACTAAAAGCATCTACTTATTACCTACAATAACTTGCAGCTACATGAAAGGCACTAACGAAATGCAATTAAAAAAACAAATTATAGAAATATTTCATCAAAATACGCGATTATGATATACCATATATATAAGTGAGTATTCGTGCAGCAACAGATATTTCTAGCGACTTTCATTCATTCTCAGCAAGACACATCATTCTTAAACGAACTAGACAAATTACATCTTAAAATCATGAGCCTCCCTCGCCTTATTTATTAAATCTTTCATCATGTTCTGATCCTGCTCGGCGACATTTTCTGTCTGTTCCAAACTGGTTAAATGAAAAACGGCAAATTTCATGCAGACCTCTTGTAGCCCCTAAAAAATTGCCAACGGCATTTAATTATTATTGCACACTCTTATAGATAGACAGGTAATGAAGTTAATGGCTACGTTCAGCAGAGAAAGCAGCTTTGCAACTGTTGTAAAATTCTTCAATAAAAAAATTGGTTCTTGCTTTTGGTTCCTTACAGATCTAAACGTATAAACCAATCATATTAAAGAATTTTACAACAGTTGCAAAGCTGCTTTCTCTGCTGAACGCAGCCATTGAAATGTAAATGGTCAACAATGATACTGTTTGAATACCTCTTCGTTATATTTGGTTGCAATGCCATACAAGTAGGCGATATTCGATACGGTAATTTCATGCTTTAACAATTGAATACACTGCTTCTTAAGGCTATTCTCGCAATAAACGTTAGCCAGGATCAAAAGTTCTGTTTTCGATAAACATTGCTTCAATCTAAGAGTACTCAGTTTATAACAGCTTATTTCGTAATATACTTCACTCACCTACCACCTGCTCCCAGGATAAATCAACCACGTCGGTATACAAGTACTTCAGAAAAGCTTTGTAGACGATACAGGAAAATTGATCCAACTTAATAACACTGTAGGAAAAGAAGATTATTGGCTGCGTTCAGCAGACTCAACAGTTTTGCAACCGTTTTATGATTGTCTGCTGAGATAGGACCATTCTTCTAGATCTAAAAGTATGATCCAATCAGCGCGAAGGAAACTTCCAACAGTTGCAAAACAAACGTTCTGCTGAACGCACCCATTGACAACTAAAAATGAAGAAATCTGAAAAATCTTTAAACCTCCGGCCCTAACGCCGGCTATAGCTGATATCCACGATGTAACTTGCAGATACACGAGCGTAATTATATTATTACTGTTATACAGTGAGTGCAAAAAGTATTCGTACAGAGAAAATATTTAAAAAAAATTTTATTTTTAAAAAGTAAATATTATCCAGAGCGAGAAATGAGTCATCGAATTGATGTCGGATTGATATCGATACGATGATCTCAACACCAATTTGACGTCGATTCGACATTTAATTGACGATCATTTCTTGTTGGGTAATTCATAAAGAATAAAATAGACTATGTTTCTTAAAACTATATATACCAAAAAGATGTGTATTAAAGATAGAAAATATATTATCTGAAAAATAAGTGAAAATTAAAAATTGGATTGTTTGTATGCTCAAAAAGTATTCGTACAGTCGAGAAATTTAACTTCTAAAATCAGGAATACATGCGAAACTCGTTTGTTTATGTTAGAACAGAATGTATTCATTGTATAAAATTGCTAATTAAAGTTTATTTTCTACAAATAAGTCTTTTTTATAACAAATTTCCTTGTATGAATACTTTTTGCTCTCACTGTATATATGTTAATTTATATTATACAATACATACTACGTTTTAATTACAATAATTATCGTTTATGTAGAAATTATAAATATCTTGTTTTAAAGAAAAGTCCCTTTTCTTTCAAAAGCATGTCAAGGAAAGTTATTCAGACGTTATTCAAGTGTAATAAGACGTAAACCCAAACGCCAAAGACGCACAATGTGTACACTTTTGGAGCGACGATCCGTTCAGTGGCGACGCTACGGTGGAGCGAAGCGCCTAGAAGCGTCATAACGAAAGAGTTAATACTTTACTAATTAATGACGTACCTCTGATTGTTTTCCACCCAATTGTGCTGAAACATGGCTCCAAAGTATGAAGAACGGATTTTCAAGACAGCCTTGTGCACGTGGATATGTTGGCCCCCGACTTGTATCGTAAGATCACTTGTCGACTACGTAAGAAATGAAAGAAAACGTTGAAGATAAATGCATATAAAATTAGCTTGATATAAGGCTGTTTATCTCGTTTTTCAATTAAAGTCGAGAATAAAACGTATTGATCGAAGTGCTCATTCGTCAGATCCAGTACTTGCTTTTCACGCACAGACTTTTTAAAAATACAATCTTTTAGAAACTCAAGCTAGTAACATTATAATTAAAACATGATTTAACAAAAAATGAAAAATGTTAATCACTACGATGGAAACGCTAGTGCATATACAGGGTGGCCCATGTAAAGTGTTACAAGCTATTATCTCTGAAAATGTGTGTCAAATGACTAATATGTTCAGACAAAAGTTTTAGGAAAGCGTAAGATGGTACCATTTGTTTGACCTTGGGTAGCGTTGTCAAAGTGAGAGCAAGGCCACTTTGAATTTTTTAAACGGATCCCCCCATTTTTTATTACATATTCTTGTAGCTTACCTCGAGAGCTTTCCAAAACATTATAATTAAGTTCATTTTCATTTAGTACTTTTCAAATTATGAGGCTCGAAGGTTACAGTACAATCGGCATTAGCATTACGCAAATTGACCGACCGACGGTTAAAACCTTTTGAATATTGTTCAGGATCATGTCCTGGATAACATTTGTCAAGATCAAGGCCATTGGAAGTTGTACCTCTTATTTTCATTTTTGCACCAAAAATTCATTTTTACGTAAAAATTAAAGGAACACCTAGTCCGTCCTCAAAAATAGGTAAAAATTTAGAAGAGTGAAAATTCATCAAAAATGATCATAACGAGATTTTTTAAAAAGCATTTTAAAGCTTGAAATCTCTACATTCGAAATCGGTAATTGATATTTCGATCTGATTGATTTTTTACGTAGCTATACGAACAGAAATGGGTATCCGTCAAACCTGAAAATTTTGTACAAATTTTACAAAGATCTATGGCGTGAAATAAAAATCGCATACAAATGTGGTTTTCAGCAGTCGAAAGAGTGAATCTTTACTTTCAATTTGTTTTTTCATCATTTATGAGCGATTTTTAGTTCACGCCATAGACCTTTGTAAAATTTGTACAAAATTTTCAGATTTGACTAGTTAGATTCGTATAGTTAGGTAAAAAATCAATCAGATCGAAATATCAATTACCGATTTCGAAAGTAGAGATTTCAAATTTTATTAAATGCTCTTTTTTAAAATGCTTTTTTAAAAATCTTGTTATGATCATTTTTTACGAAGTTACACTCTTCTGAACTTTCACCTATTTTTAAGGACGAACAAGGTGATCCTTTAATTTTTTTGCGTAGTGTATATATTTATACTATATACTATATGTACATACATGCATATACACCAAATTTGTAGTCTCTCAAACTGCAAGCCGAATTGGTTTTCGGGACTTATAAACGCCACTGAACTACTGTAATAATATCACGAATTAAATTAAATTGACAAGCAATTTTTAGTAATTTGATGCTCAATTAGACATCATATTAGAAAGACGTTAATATGCTAAGAAACTGTAAATACAATGTGACAAATATGGTATATATGTATGTATATACATTTTATATATACATATATAATTCACATTGAATTATTTAAGCAGTACAGATCTAACTTCGGTATAGGCATTCATTGCTTAATACACTTATATCAGCAAAAAGCAATTACATTAACCATTCTGATTGCTCATTAAACGACTTTATGTTTTGAACGCAATAATTAATCTCAATGTGTTTTTAGAAAATTGGAGAAAGTATAAGCAAAATAAACAGAAACCGAACAACGAACAAAACATACAGGATCATCGAAAGCAGTTTTCAGACATTTCAATACTTCCGACTCTTCAGTCGCGGTCAGGATCAGCGGTTGGTGCATAACGCTCGGCGACGTGTAACACGCAAACGCGGTGTGCATGTCCAAGCACGGGGTGGCGATTGGAATGTTGACAGCATTTCTGCGACAAACACCCCATACGTATACATGTCTTTCATTGTTGACGGCGATGCTTATATGACTGTCCTGATGAGCAGCAATGTCAGACACTCTTCCCATTTGGTGCTCGACCTGATGATATAAAAATTGATCATGAAATTTTTTATTTTATTTTCTTCCTTGTTTCATTTAGGATGACGATAAATATACCAAGACTGGTTTCCAGGAATCCATTTGGTGGCCAATCCCTAATTGGCCATGGTTATTCCTACCCCAAGTGTAGAGGTCTCCTACGTCCGTAAGCGCCAGAGTGTGACTATTTCCGCAAACCAACTTGACTGAAACAATAACGATTGCGTAGTAATAATCCCATTTGGTTTTATCGTTCTCTTATTCCTTTATCGCTTTATCGAGACAAGCTCTACCTATCACAATGCCTTCCAATGAATCAATTCGGCATGGCGTCTTTCGGTTGTGCGGGTCGTCTATACCCAGCTGCCCATACTTATTAGTACCCCAACTATACACCTCACCATTTTCGATAATCACGATAGTAAATTCCGCACCGCAGGAGGCGTACACAACCTTCTTCCCAGCTAAGCTATCAAATTGCATAGGTGTAGCCACTGACTTTCTTTCTTCTATGTAATCATATCCCCAAGCTAACACCTAAATCAAACTACTTATTCAGCAGCTCATAATAATGGAGGATTATCATTGACACTTTGCTTACCTCTCCAAACTCGGTCACAGCAACGGAATGGTAATCCTCGCATGCTATGTCCACCACACGATTCAGACTCAGATCGTCTTCCAGAGGCGGTATCTTTACTAAAGTAGGCAATCTAACGACCTGATCATCTGAACCATTCCCCAATTGGCCGAAATGATTGTATCCCCAAGAATATGCCTGTGAATGTCAGAAAAATAAACGGACTGAGATTTGAACTTAGGATGTATCTCCATACCTTAGCGTCGATTTAAGTCATATTCGACTGATATCTAATTCTCTTATTTTATCACGCCTACATATATCTAGGATACGTTCAACTTAACATTCACAACGTCCACACGCAAAATTTATCATCGTTGTTATCAAAAGTTAAACGAGGATAAAATGAACGTTAAGTGGAACGTATTCTAATTGGCTTTACGATTCTATATACTTAATTCTTCAAGGTCTCCCTTTATAAATTTTAACATAATATTCGAGGACAACGCTCTCATTGATTTAACGTTTCACGAATGAGTCGCTTGATTTAGCAATTTCATAAAATCTTTGACAATTCTGTAGAATTAGCAGATGCATCAATAAAAAATGACAAAGAAGAAACATTAAAATGTACTTTTATGTACAAATAAAAATTCATTAACAGCCAGTTGTTTCACCTTTAGATAAAACATGTGATAATTTATGGATAAACAAGAGTAAAAGAGTAAGAGAATAAAAGAATAAAGGAGTGAACTGAAGTTTTTACCGAAAGACAGAACAACCCAGATTAACAATTTTATTTTTTAATTACTTTAAAATAGTTTAAAAGAATGAAATTTATCGTTTAGCAATTCCCCATTTCATGAAAATTATGTGTATTCCAAAAAGAACAAATCGAAATTATATATATTGCAGACATGAAACATGTTACGAAAACAATAAAAAAATCATTTCTGACCTTCTAACATACCTCTCCTTCTTTTGTAAGTGCCAGAACACGATTCTTGCTACACGTAAACGTCTTTATATCTTTCATGCACAGGACCTCGATCTTCTTCGGATATAACGTAGAGACTGTGTCCCCAGTCCCCAAACAACCGTTATTGTTGGTCCCTAACGCATACACCATTTTATCCCTCGTCACGATTAAAGCCTTATCACATGCACCTATTTCGAGACATATAAAGATGAACAACATTGTCAAAGTAAGTTTGCAAAAGAAATAAAGAAAATGAATAATTACCAAACACCATAATCATGTGGATTTGCGAGACGAATTCCGGCTCCAAGAAACTAACGATAGGCCAGATATGTAAATCCGAGGTACACATATCGCTATACGGGATCGTCTTTTCGCGAATGCTTCGTTTTGTTCCCGTTATTTCGCGTATTTCGTGAATTCAAGTGACTTATTATCTTTTCTGTCAACAGATATCTAATTGGTTTGAAATCGGAGTACATTCGCTGTTAGCCGACAATACAACAGTAGCCAAATACGGGTGGAAAAAAAAGGACTATCATACGCTATTGCGCACATATATTCGAAGCCAATGGTTGCGTTCAACAGAATGTTTATTTTGTAACTGTTGGAAGTTTGTTTCGCTGAGATAGGACTATTTCGAGCAATTTAAACAGCATAATCTAATCAGTGCCAAGAAAACATCCAAAGTTCGCAACTTTCAAAAGTTGCAAAATAAAATATTTTGCTGAACATAGCCAATGAGAATTGATGTCTAACCATTATATTGCCATTTGATTTGAATCGGCATCGCACCATTATTCTTTTACTTTTTTGTTTTTGTATTGTAATTTACTCCTATGTGCTTACATTGGCGTGCTGCTTTTCTTTTAAAAGACACAAATCGACACAAAAAAGTACACTACAATCAAATAAAATGTCATATGCAATGTGATTAAAATTTTATTTTACAAAATTTCGTTTAAAATTTCACAAACGGTATATCTTTCAACACATGTATATTGTAAATATATGTACATTCTTTTCAGAACAACATCGTTCAATCGATCAAAATTAAATCAAGAGATGTGTGGTAATGTTTCGGCGAATTTGAATACAGCGATTCGCCTCTCGAGATTCTCTCGATTTTCTTCTCGTTGAGTTGAATTATCTCTTTGAGGAAAATAAACACAATTAGTATTTGAAACATCCAGCTCTGCGCGCCTTGATTATAAATGATGTCATCATCAATTCCTGCTCAAGTTTGGCGAAATCTTCTGTCATCGTCACAGCATTCATGTGATGAACGGCAAATCTGACGCAGCAATCTTCTAGCTCCTAAATAATTATCAATGATATTCAGATATTATTAAATATGCATATAGATAAATAAATATCGCTGTTAATAAAATGTTAATGAGCGTCAACAGTGTTTGAATACCTCCTCGTTATATTTGACTGCAATGGTATATAAGTAAACGACATTCGGTACGGTAATTTCTTTCTTTAGCATCTGAAAACACTTCTTCCTAAGATCGCTCTCGCAGTATGCGTCAGCCAGGTCCAAAAGTCCTATAACAAAAAACATTGTTTTAATCGTAAGTGTGGATTCAGACTGATAATAGTTGATAGTGCACTTGACTCACCTACCACCTGCTTCCAGGGTAAATCGACTATGTCGGTATACAAGTACTTCAGGAACGCTTTGTAGACAATATAGGAAAACTGATCCAACTTAATAACACTGTAGGAAAAGAAAATTGGTGACGAAATGAGGAATTCTGAAGTCATTAACACTGATCTTTTGTTAAATCATTACGTACCTCTGGTTGTTTTCCGCCCAATCGTGCTGAAACAAGGTTTGAAAATACGAAGAGCGGACCTTTAAAATAATCTTGTGCACGTGCATAAAATAGTTCCCGACTTGTATCCTAAGATCGCTTGTCGACTATATAAGAAATGACAAATACGTACGGAATTAACTCGACATAAATTATTCGTTACATTTTTCAATTGAGATCGAGAATATAACATATGAAATATTAATCGAAATGCTATTCACCGTCACCTTCAGTACATTCTTTGCATGCATACAGATTTCTCAAAAATACAATTTATTTTAAAAACTTAAATTAGCAATACTACATTTGAAAAAGGATAAAACAAAAAATGACAAATGTTCACCACAACGTTGGAAATATTAGTACACATATGAATTAATATTTCCATTGAGAATAAAAATTATATATTAAATATAATTAGAGATATAGGCTGCGGTCCTTTGATACTACAACGGTTCGAAGTATTTGAGCGACCAATCAGAACAAAAAATTTTATGAATTGACTAATCAAAGAATGCTTCGAAGCGTTTGTAACGTAAAGTGGACCGCAGCCTATATCTCATTGATACTGATTACTAATCAGATCACAATTTGTTTTTTTATTTCAATTGCATATTTTCCCGTGTGGGGTTGCTAGTTTCCCATCAGGCACTTCCCCTGATGGCGCATTGGGGAATCTCACCGGCTTGCCGGAAGGTGGCGGGGAAATAAAATACCCGGGGTGGATCAAAACTAGCAAACAAAGACAATGGAAAAAACTACCACGGAAAGGATTACCCCAGGTAGCAGCCCGAGCTACTCGGAAAATCCATTCTCCTTGGAGGCAGGCCCCATGGATTTTGGGATGGGCCATCTATTGCTTTACAAAGACCAAGACAGGATAGAGGTGAAAAACGCAAATGACTTACAGACTGAAAAGGAACAACTTTTGTACAAGGCCTTTAATGGAAATTAGTGAAAAGCAAAAACTTAACAAAAAAATACAGCAAATAGAACAGCAGATGAGAGAAATAGAATCCAAGAAATATAAATTTGTAATGAGTCGCAAACAAATATTAATTATGAAACAGATGAGGAGGAATTGCGTAGGAAAACAGAATGAATTCCGAAAAGAAGCCCAAAAAAGAAGCGGAAAGCAAGCTCATCACACCGTACATATCACCTGCAGGAATAGAAATTGGAAACAAGTGTAATCAAGAAACCAATTTAACTGGAAATAACAAACCCCAGCAAGTAGAACGACAAAGACTAGTGGGTAGAATGCGCGCTTCTCCACCTATATATGTAGCAGGGATGAAAGAATACATCAAGCCATTTATGACCATTAAAAGAGCGGTATCGAAAGAATGTAGAATAGCCTCACTTAATAATGATATGTGGAAAATAAACACGCCAGATGGAGATTCATATAGGGCGCTAGCAGCGGAATTAAGCAAAGAAAAAAATCCAATGGCACACATATGAGGATAACATGAAAGACCCATCCAGGTAATCGCTAGGAAATTACACCCTTTGCGCAGCAAACAAGATATAATTGAAGATCTCAGAAACAAGGGATTCAATGTGATAGATGCGATAAATATACTTAAACGCGAAAAAAGAACCTTGGAAAATAGAAAAATTGAAATTGTGAAGCGAGGACTATCACTCTTCATGATAACCTTTGATAATAAAAAAAAAAACAGAAAAGATTTATGCTATCAAGAATATACTAAAAATTGTCATATCAATAAAACCGCTACGCAAGACTACACGGCTGATACCACAATGCAAGAGATGTCAAGAATATAATCATACCCAAAAGTACTGTCAAAAAGATCCAAGGTGCGTGAAATGCACGGGTAAACGTTTCACTAAAACTTATACAATCAATAAAACGATGACAAGATGCATAAATTGCAATGGAGATCACCCGACTAATTATAGAAGTTGTGAGATTGCAAAAGCACTACAGAAGAGGAAGGATGTACTGACAAAGCCAAAACAACGGACGCAACAAATGAGTGCACAAGCCAAAATAGAGAATATTATACCACAAAACGTGCCATACAAACTATATGCTGAGGCTGTTAGAGAAAAAAAGCGAACAACAATTGAAGAAAAACTTAATCTCGTACTGAACAAATTAAGCGAACAAGAACTTGTTAACAAGCAACTCTTTGATAAAATTAATAGATTCGAACACGATCTGAATAACAAAGCGAAGATAAAGCGAAAATGAGCCTAAGAATAGCTATATAGAATGCCAACGGAATTCAAGGACGGATAAGTGAATTTGAGCAATTTATGCAAATGCAAATTGATACATGCTTAATTTCGGAGACACATCTTACCCGCGAATCATATTATATATTAAAATCAAAAACTTTGAAGCTTACCACGCAATACATCCAGCAAATAAAGCAAGAGGAGGATCTACTACAATCATCCGCAAGAATATTAAGCACTATCCTGAGCTAAGTATAGCAACAGATCAAATGCAAGTCGTGTAGAACGAACCCATTTACCTTATGACAATAGATACATAAATTACTAAATAAGTTGCATAACTTAGTAGTGATATATTTAATAATTAAAAAAATGAAAAAATTGCATATTTTTTTCGACAAAGCATTTTTCGATGCGTTCAGAAGACAAAATCGATCAACGATTCTTCTTTACGAAGTAAAAAGTTAAGTTACATAAGACCGGCAAAAATTAATTATACCAATCATTTGAATCAGCCATATTGAAAATTAACTAATTGCTTATTGAGCGCGATTTAGTCTTCTGTGTAGCGATCATGTAACTCTTTCCTAGAACGGATACGTAAAAAGTGAAATTTTTTTGTATAAATATGTGTATATGTACATTCGCAAAAATTTTCATTTTTCACGTTTATGCTCTAGAGGAAAAGTTACATAGTGTTATGGTCAAAGAAATCACTCATTTTACTGTACATTTCGAAAATGTTAGAAAGTACAAGCAAAACGAATAAATATCACACATCAAACAAAATATACAACAAACAGAATCACTGAATGCAGTTCTCACTTTCAGTACATCACATTCAATGTCCGGCTCTCCGTTTATGTCCAGGAATAGCGGTTTGTGCATATACGTCATCAAACTGTAGGATGCAAATGCGATATGTATATCCGAGAATGGAGTAGCGATTGGGGTCATGATGTTCTGTCCACAACAAAAACCCCATACATACACACGTTGTCCCGTGCCGACGGCGACGCTTATGTTGTCGTCATACATAGCGGCAATGTCGAACACTCTTCCCATTTGATGCTCGACCTAATGATATAATAATGTTGATCATGAAAATCTATACTTTATTCTTTTCTTTGTCTTCTTTATGATGATGATAAACGTAAGTATACCAGGACTGGTTTAACGGAATGCGTTTTGTTGCCGATCCCCAATTGGCCGTAATAATTGTTACCCCAGGCGTAGAGGTCTCCTTTGTCCGTGAGCGCCAGCGTGTGCCGGTCTCCGCAAACAACCTGGACTGAAACAATATCGATTGCTTAGTAATCTCATTTGAACATTTTCATTATTTATTTTTTTGACGCTTTATCGAGAAGAGAATTACCTATCACAGTGCCTATTAGTGAATCGACCTGGCATGGCGTCGTTCGATCCTCCATATCGCCTACACCCAGCTGGCCATATCTATTATTACCCCAACCATATACCTCGCCATTATCAATGATTACCACAGTGAAGGCCGCACCACAGGAGATGTGGACAACCTTCTTTTTAACCAAGATATCGAATTGCATAGGTGTTGTCTGTTTATCAGTTTTCTCCTTTTCCTGCTCTTGTTCCTCTTCTTGCACCTCTTCTTCCTCTTCTTCTTCATCCTCATGTACTCCCCAAGCATACACCTAAATCAAACTGACTATTTAATAGCTCAAACAAAGAATTATTGTTGACACTTTGCTTACCTCGCCAGACTCGGTCAGAGCGATGGAATGGTTACATCCGCATGCTATGTCGACGATACGCTTTGGACCCTGATCACCTTCCTGAATAGGTATGTTTACTAGAGCAGGCGTGGTAATGCTCTCATTCCAACTGTTCCCCACTTGGCCATAAAGGTTGTATCCCCAGGAGTATATCTGTCAACGAAAGAAAAATAATGGAGTCGACTTGGATTTGAACTCAGGATATTGCTCAGGATACTTCTAGCATCAGATCTAAGCCGTATACTTGTGACTGTTCCAATTATCCTATTTCGTCGCGCCTACATATATTTATGATCCACTTAATACGTTTGCAACACTGGCAAACGTAATTTCGTTGTTGTCATCAAATGTTAAATAAGGATGAAATAAACATTGAGTGGAATGTATTTTAATCGCTTTATGGTTCCGTATACTCGGTTTCTTACAGTCTTTTTTAATATTTTCACATACTGCGAAGACATCACTGTCATTCATTTTACGTTTTACGTCTTGATTTAGCAATTTTATTATATCTCTGGCAATTTTGTAGAATTGATAGATGCGTCATGAACGAAGGATAAGGAAGGAAAATAAAATGTATGTGTTCTTTTGAACGAGTATAAATTCATTACATGTCGGTTTCATCTTTAGATATTATCGCCCATAGCAAGAAAATGTCATAGTTACGTTAAAAACCATCACGACTGCGTCATGGTAACGTGCGAATGTCTGCTTTATCACAAATGTAATGTCACAGCAATGTCATGGTGATGTGCGAATGACTTTGTAACATGTGTTATTTGTTATAACGATCTCACAGTGACATCATATCTTCTTCCTGACTGTTTAACTCTATTGTAACGTGAATGTGACCCTTTGCTATTGGGGATGAAAACTTATATAACGGATAAAGAAAAGAGTAAAAGAGTACGAAAATAAGAAAGTAAGGTAATAAGCTAAAGTTTCCATCGAAAGATGGAACAACCCAGCGTAACTATTTATTTTTTAGACTACTTTAAGAGAGTGAAATCTAACGGTTAACACATTTGTATTCAAAACATAAATGTGAAAATCACGTGTATTCCAAAGAGAACAAATCAGAAATATATGAAATATTCCAAAGATTAGTCGTGTAACAAACAAAATTCGAGTATGACCTTTTAACATACCTCTCCTCCTACTGTAAGTGCTAGAACGTGAGGTCCACCACCGCACGCGAACGTCTTTATATCTTTCGTGCATAAGACCTCGATCTTCTTTGGATGTAATGTGGAGATACAGTCCCCTGTGCCTAAACAACCGAAATGGTTGATCCCCAAAGCATATACCATCTTATCTTTCGTCACGATTAAGGCACTATGACCATATATATCTGTTTCAAAATATAAGATCAACAACGTTGTCAAAGCGTGTAAGCAAAGGATGTAAAAAGAGCGAATTACCATATACTATGACCATTCGAATTTGTGAGATAAATTCCGGCTCCAGTGATCTGAGGACTTGCCAGCTACGTAAAACTGAGGTGCACATATCGCTTGTCGGGATCGCTTTTTCGCAAACGCTATGTTTCTTTTCTCGTTACTTCGCAGCTCTCGTGAATTCCAGTAGTTTAACCTACTGTCAACGGACGTACACAATTATTTTCAAATCGTCGTACATCCAATAACACAATAGTGGTGGAAGAAATTCATGTGTGCTATCATACGTCAATGCGCACACGTTCTAATTATCCAATGGAAAACTCGTTCAGCAGAATGTATATTTTGCAAGTTGGAAGTTTATTTTACTGAGATAAGACTATTTCTAGAAACTTAACAAAATAATCCAATCAGCGCGAAGAAAACTTAAAAAAAGTTGTAAATTAAAATATTTTGCTGAACATAGCCATTGAGCACTGATGTCAAACCATCATTTTGCCACCATGATTTGAATCGGCATCACATCATTATTCTTTTACTTATTTATTTTTGCATTTTAATTTACTCCTGTGTGCTTACATTGGTGTGCTGATTTTCTTTTAAGAGACACAATCGACAGAAATAAGTACACTGAAACACCACAATCAAATGGAACGCCATATACAATGTGATAAAATTTTTATTATCTAACACACACACATTATAAAATTTTGTTTAAAACTTCACAGACGGTGAATCTTTCAACAGATGTATATTGCAAATATATGTACATTCTTTTCAGAATAATATCGTTCAATCGATCAAAATTAAATCAAGAGACGCGGTAATGTCTCGGCGAATTTGAACATACAGCGACTCGCCTCTCGAGATTCTCTCGATTTTCTTGTCGTTGAGTTGCATTATTTCTTTGAGGAAAATAAACGCAATTAGTATTTGAAACATCCAGCTCTGCTCTGCCTTGATTATAAATGATGTCATCATCAATTCTTGCTCAAGTTTGGCGAAATCTTCTGTCATCGTCACAGCAGTCATGTGATGAACGGCAAATTTGACGCAGCAATCTTCTAACTCTTAAGAATTATCAATGACAATGCTTATTTTGCAACTGTTGGAAGTTTATTTTGCTGAGATAGAACTATTTTCAGAAATTTAAATAGAATAATCCAATCAGCGCGGAGAAAATTTACAAAAGTTGTAAATTAAAATATTTTGCCGAACAAAGCCAATGAGCATTGATGTGAACCATCATTTTGCCACCATAATTTGAATCGGCATCACATCATTATCCTTTTACTTATTTTTGTATTGTAATTTACTCCTGTGTGTTTACATTGGTATGCTGCTTTTCTTTTAATAGACACAAATCGACACAAATAAATACACTGAAACACCACAATCAAATAGAATGCCATATATGCATTGTGATTAAATTTTTATTATTTAACTTTATAAAATTTCATTTAAAACATCATAAATGGTGTATTTTTCAACTGCTTGTTGCAACTACATGTATATTATAATCAGAATTATATTGTGTCGTAATATCATCCAATCGATCAAAATTAAATCAAGAGACGTAATGTCTCGGCGCTATTGAACATACAGCGACTATCCTTTCGAGCAGACATTCTTCTCTCGACTTTCTTCTCGTTGAGTTGCATTATTGTTTTCAGGAAAATAGATGAAATTAATTTTTGAAAGCCTTAGCTTTGCCCACCTTAATTAAGAATATTTTCCTGAGTTTCTGATCAAGTTTGGCGAAATCTTCTGTCATCGTCACAGCAGTCATGTGATGAACGGCAAATTTGACGCAGCAATCTTCTAGTTCCTAAAGAATTATCAATGACATTCAAATATTATTGAATATGCATACAGATAAATAAATATCGCCGTTAATAAAATGTTAATGAGCGTCAACAGTGTTTGAATACCTCCTCGTTATATTTGACTGCAATGGTATATAAGTAAACGACATTCGGTACGGTAATTTCTTTCTTTAGCATCTGAATACACTTCTTCCTAAGATCGCTCTCGCAGTATGCGTCAGCCAGGTCCAAAAGTTCTATAACAAAAAACATTGTTTTAATCGTAAGAGTGAATTCAGACTGATAGCTCATAGTGTACTTGACTCACCAACCACCTGCTTCCAGGGTAAATCGACTATGTCGGTATACAAGTACTTCAGGAACGCTTTGTAGACAATATAGGAAAACTGATCCAACTTAATAACACTGTAGGAAAAGAAAATTAGTGATGAAATGAAGAATTCTGAAGTCCTTATCACTGACCTTTTGTTAAATCATTACGTACCTCTGGTCATTTTCCGCCCAATCGTGCTGAAACATGGTTTTAAAGTACAAAGAGCGTATCATCAAAATAGCCTTATGCACGTGTATAAATTGGTTCCCGACTTGTATCGTAAGATCGCTTGTCGACTATATAAGAAATGACAAATACGTACGAAATTAACTCGACATATATTATTCGTTATATTTTTCAATTAAGATCGAAAGTATAACATATTAAGTATTAATCGAAGTGCTATTCACTGTCATCTTTAGTACATTCTATGCACGCATACAGATTTCTCAAAAATACAATTTATTTTAAAAACTAATATTAGTAACATTACATTTGAAAAAGAATGAAACAAAAAATGACAATTGTTCACCACTACGATGAAAATAATAGTACACATATAAATTAATATTTCCAATGTGAATAAAAATTATACACGTATAATTAAAGATATTGATACTGATAATTAATCAGATCACAATTTGTTTTTTTATTTCAACTGCATATTTTTTTTTCGTCAAAGTATTTTTCGACGCGTTCAAAAGGCAAAATCGGTCAGCGATTTTTCTTTACAAAGTAAAAAGTTTGGTTTATGATTAGTATATGACCGACAAAAACTAATTATATTAACCATTCGAATCAGTCATATTGAAGATTAACTAATTGCTCATTGAACGCGACTAATCTTCTGTGTAGCGATCATGTAACTCTTTCCTAGAACGGATATGTAAAAAATGAAATTTCTTTTGTATAAATGTGTGTTGTATATATGTACATTCATAAAAATTTTCATGCACGTTTATGCTCTAGAGAAAAAGTTACATGAAAATGTTATATCAAAAAAATAACTCATTATACTCTACATTTCGAAAATATTAGAAAGTACAAGCAAAACGAATAAATACCACACAACAAACAAAATATACGGAATCACTAAATGCAGTTCTCACTTTCAGTACGTCGCATTCAATATCCAGCTCTCCGTTAGTGTCCAGGAATAGCGGTTTGTGCATAAAAATCTTCGAACTGTAGGATGCAAATGCGACATGTATATCCGAGAATGGAGTAGCGATTGGGGTCATGATGTTCTGTCCACGACAAAAACCCCATACATACACACGTCGTCCTGTACCAACGGCGACGCTTATGTTTCCGTTGTACCCAGCGGCAATGTCGAACACTCTTCCCATTTGATGCTCGACCTGATTATATAATAATGTTTGATCATGAAAATCTATACTTTATTCTTTTTCATCGTTTTCTTTATAACCAGAAACATAAATATACCATGACTGGTTTACAGATTACATTAATCTGGCTGCCGATCCCCAATTGGCCGCAATAATTGTTACCCCACGCGTAAAGATCTCCTTTATCCGTGAGCGCCAGCGTGTGCTGGTTTCCGCAAACAACCTGGACTGAAACAATATTGATTGCTTAGTAATCTCATTTGAACATTTTCATCGTTATTTTTTTGACGCTTTATTGAGACAAGAATTACCTATCACAGTGCCTTTTAGTGAATCGAGCTGGCACGGCGTCATTCGATCCTCCACATCGCCTACACCCAGCTGGCCATATTTATTATTACCCCAACCATATACCTCGCCATTATCAATGATTACCATAGTGAAGGTCCCACCACAGGAGATGTAGACAACCTTCTTCTCAGCCAAAGTATCAAATTGCATAGGTGACGTCACTCTGTCAGTTTTCTCCTTTTCCTGCTCTTGTTCCTCTTCTTGCACTTCTTTCTCTTCTACTTCTTCTTCTTCCTCTTCTTCTTCGTCATGTACTCCCCAAGCATACACCTAAATCAAACTGGCTATTTAGTAGCTCAAACAGAGAATTATTGTTCACACTTTGCTTACCTCGCCAGATTCGGTCAGAGCGATGGAATGGTTACATCCGCATGCTATGTCGACGATACGCTTTGGACCCTGATCACCTTCCTGAGTAGGTATGTTTACCAGAGTAGGCGTGGTAATGCTCTCACCGCAACTGTTCCCCACTTGACCATAAAGGTTGTGTCCCCAGGAGTATATCTGTCAACAGAAGAAAAATAATGGAGCCGACTTGGATTTGAACTCACTTGTGACTGTTCCAATTATCCTATTTCGTCGCGCCTACATATATTTATGATCCACTTAATACGTTTGCAACACTGGCAAACGTAATTTCGTTGTTGTCATCAAATGTTAAATAAGGATGAAATAAACATTGAGTGGAATGTATTTTAATCGCTTTATGGTTCCGTATACTCGGTTTCTTACAGTTTTTTTTAATATTTTCACATACTGCGAAGACATCACTGTCATTCATTTTACGTTTTACGTCGCTTGATTTAGCAATTTTATTATATCTCTGGCAATTTTGTAGAATTGATAGATGCGTCATGAACGAAGGATAAGGAAGGAAAATAAAATGTATGTGTTCTTTTGAACGAGTATAAATTCATTACATGTCGGTTTCATCTTTAGATATTATCGCCCATAGCAAGAAAATGTCATAGTTACGTTAAAAACCATCACGACTGCGTCATGGTAACGTGCGAATGTCTGCTTTATCACAAATGTAATGTCACAGCAATGTCATGGTGATGTGCGAATGACTTTGTAACATGTGTTATTTGTTATAACGATCTCACAGTGACATCATATCTTCTTCCTGACTGTTTAACTCTATTGTAACGTGAATGTGACCCTTTGCTATTGGGGATGAAAACTTATATAACGGATAAAGAAAAGAGTAAAAGAGTACGAAAATAAGAAAGTAAGGTAATAAGCTAAAGTTTCCATCGAAAGATGGAACAACCCAGCGTAACTATTTATTTTTTAGACTACTTTAAGAGAGTGAAATCTAACGGTTAACACATTTGTATTCAAAACATAAATGTGAAAATCACGTGTATTCCAAAGAGAACAAATCAGAAATATATGAAATATTCCAAAGATTAGTCGTGTAACAAACAAAATTCGAGTATGACCTTTTAACATACCTCTCCTCCTACTGTAAGTGCTAGAACGTGAGGTCCACCACCGCACGCGAACGTCTTTATATCTTTCGTGCATAAGACCTCGATCTTCTTTGGATGTAATGTGGAGATACAGTCCCCTGTGCCTAAACAACCGAAACGGTTGACCCCCAAAGCATATACCATCTTATCTTTCGTCACGATTAAGGCACTATGACCATATATATCTGTTTCAAAATATAAGATCAACAACGTTGTCAAAGCGTGTAAGCAAAGAATGTAAAAAGAGCGAATTACCGTATACCATGACCATTCGAATTTGCGAAACAAATTCCGGCTTCAGTGAACTGAGGATCTGCCAAGTACACAGAACTGGAGTGCACATATCGCTTTTCGGGATTGCTTCTTAGCAAATGCTTCGTTTCTTTTCCCGATACTTCGCGGCTCTCGTGAATTCCAGTAGTTTAACCTTCTGTCAACTGAAGTACACAATTATTTTCAAATCGTCTTACATCCAAAATATTAGTAGTGAAAGAAACTCAAGTGTGATGTCATACGTTAATGCGCACACACGTTTCTAATTACCCAATGGGAAACGTGTTCAGCAGAATGTTTATTTTGCAACTGTTGGAAGTTTATTTTGCTGAGATAGAACTATTTCCATAAATTTAAATAGAATAATCCAATCAGCGCGGAGAAAATTTTACAAAAGTTGTAAATTAAAATATTTTGCCGAAAAAAACATAGCCAATGAGCATTGATGTGAAACCATCATTTTGCCATCATGACTTAAATCGGCATCATATCATGATTCTTTTACTTATTTATTTTTGTATTTTAATTTACTCCTGTGTGCTTACATTGGTGTGCTGATTTTCTTTTAAAAGACACAAATAGACATAAATAAGTACACTACTGAAACACCACAATCAAATCAAATGGAACGCCATGTGCAGTGTGATTAAATATTTATTATTCAACTTTACAAAATTTCACTTAAACCATAACAAACGGTGTATTTTTTCAACACATGTACGTTGCAAATATATGTACATTATATTTAGAATTATATTGCGTCGTAACATCGTTCAATCGATCAAAATTTAATCAAGAGACACGGTAATGTCTCGGCGCTTTTGAACATACGGCGACTCTCCTCTCGAGATTCTCTCGATTTTCTTCTCGTTGAGTTGCGTTCTCTTTGAGGAAAATAGACGCAGTTAGTATTTGAAACAGCCAGATTTGCTCGTCTTGATTATAAATGATGTCATCATCAATTCCTGCTCAAGTTTGGCGAAATCTTCTGTCTTCGTCACAGCAGTCATGTGATGAACGGCAAATCTGACGCAGCAATCTTCTAGTTCCTAAAGAATTATCAATGACATTCAAATATTATTGAATACGCATACAGATAAATAAATATCGCCGTTAATAAAATGTTCATGAGCGTCAACAGTGTTTGAATACCTCCTCGTTATATTTGACTGCAATGGTATATAAGTAAACGACATTCGGTACGGTAATTTCTTTCTTTAGCATCTGAATACACTTCTTCCTAAGATCGCTCTCGCAGTATGTGTCAGCCAGGTCCCAAAGTTCTATAACAAAAAACATTGTTTTAATCGTAAGAATGGACTCAGACTGATAATATAGCTCAGTATACTTGACTCACCTATCACCTGCTTCCGTGATAAATCGATTACGTCGGTGTACAAGTACTTCAGGAACGCTTTGTAGACAATATAGGAAAACTGATCCAACTTAATAACACTGTAGGAAAAGAAAATTAGTGATGAAATGAAGAATTCTGAAGTCCTTATCACTGACCTTTTGTTAAATCATTACGTACCTCTGGTCATTTTCCGCCCAATCGTGCTGAAACATGGTTTTAAAGTACAAAGAGCGTATCATCAAAATAGCCTTGTGCACGTGGATATATTGACCCTCCACTTGTATCGTAAGATCGCTTGTTGACTATATAAGAAATGTAAAAAAAGACAAATGCGTAAAATTAGTTTCATATAATACTCTACTCGCATTTTGCAACTAAAATCGAGGATAAATCGTATTAATCGAAGTGCTCGTTAGCTTCAGTACTTTAATCCCATAGGTACACATTTTTTTTAAATAAAATTTCTTTTAAAAACTCAAGCACATAATACTGTAATTAAAACAGGATTTCACAGAAAACAACAAATATAAATTACTATGATGGAAATGCTAGTACACATACATGTAGTATATCGATCCTGGTAATAAAAACTGTATATGTACAAATACATCCATTTATTTTAATTTCAAGTTCTTCTTATCACAGTATCGTAGGTTGAATTCAGAAGACAAAATAGCTCAGCGATTTGTTGCTTTATACACTTTGATCAGAAAAACCAATTATATCAATTATTTTGATGGTTCACTAAACGACTTTATCTTCCGAACGTAGTCATTCATTTCATTTATTATTTTATATATTCAGAAAATGCGAGAAAATATAACCAAAACAAGCAGAAACCGCACAAAGAATAAACGTACGAGATCGTCGAATGCAATTCTCAGACATTTCATTATGTCCAGCGGCTCTTCCGTCACGTTCAGAATCAGCGGTTTGTGCATAGCGCATGGCCACCCGTAACATGCAAGCGCGTTGTGTACGTCCGAGAATGGAGTAGCGATTGGCATCATGATTGACTGTCTGTGGCAGCGATCCCATACGTATACACGTCCTCCATTGCCGACGGCTTATGTGTGTGTTGAATACAGCGGCAATGTTGAACACTGTTCCCATTTGGTGTTCGACCTGATGATATAATAATTTCGGTCATAAAATTCGTTACTTTTATTCTTTTTTTTTTATAATGATGGTAAACGTAAGTATACCATGACTGGTTCACAGCAATCCGTCTGGTTGCTGATCCCCAACTGGCCGTAACGATTGTCACCCCAGGCGTAAAGTAAACCCCTTCTTTTGTGAGCGCCAGCGTATGCTGGTACCCACAAACCACCTTGACTGAAACAGTACCAATTGTTTAATAATCCCATATAATTTTATAATTCTCTTAATCTTTTAACGCTTCATCAACACGAGAACTACCTATCACAATGCCTTCCAGTGAATCAAGCTAGTATGGAGTCCTTCGATCCTAGATGGATAACATTTGTCAAGATCAAAGTTATTAGAGGTTGTACGTCTTATTTTCATTTTTACGTAAAAATGAATTCTTAGTGCAAAAATGAAAATAAGAGGAATAATCGCCAATGGCTTTGATCTTGACAAATGTTATCCAGGATATGATCCTGAACAACATTCATAAGGTTTTAGCCGTCAATCGGCAGTACTGTAACTTTCAAGCCTTATAACTCGAAAAGTACTTAATGAAAAATAACTTTATTATAGTGTTTTGAAAAGCTCTTGAAACCAGCTATTAAATTTTGACATCAAAAGTAGGGAGTTCCATTTAAAAAAATCAATTTGACCTTGACCTGACCTTAACGATGCCACCCAAGATCAAATCAACCTTTTTATGTCTCCCTCCGAACCATACAACTTTTATTTGAAACATTTTTCCGTATTTACTATAGTTTTCGAGAAATCTTAATGCATTATTTAAAATGGGACACCCTTATAGAGTTGTATTTCTCAATTTAAATCGAAAATAAAATACAATTATATATATTACGTAGTATACCCTTACTGAAGTACTCACAGTCAGTCCTTTTTTTCCATGTGTGTAAATAGATTTTTTAAAAATACAATTTCTCTTAAAAACTCAAGCTAGTAACACTATATTCAGGATTTTACGAAAAAATGATAAATATTTACTATTACGGTGGAAATACTAGTACACATATATGCATTAGTATTTCCACCATTGTACATAAAAATTATATATGCATAATTGGAGAAATTGTTAGTAATTAGATCTATTTATTTCGACTACATATTTTTCTCATTTCAGTATTGTTGACTGCATTCAGAAAGCAAAATCTTTCAGTGACTTTCATTACCTTTGTACATTTTGATCATCAAAAATCAATCATATTAATAATTCAAACCAGTCATATTAAAAGAATTATAACTTGTTCATTGAGCGACTTTGACTTCTGAACAGTAATTCATTTCATTGTATATTTAAAAAATGCAAGAAAGTACAAGCAAATAAATACTGAGACAATGCAAAAAAGAATAAAACATACAGGATCATCGAATGCAGTTTTCAAGCATTTCAATATTCTTCGTTTCCGTTTAAAATTAGCGGTTTGTGCATAATGTTTATCGATGCAAGTGCGTTGTGCACATCCAAGAATGGAGTGGCAATTGGAATCATGACGTTCTGTCTTTGGCAGAAACCCCATACATATATACGTTCTTCTTTGCCAATAGCAATGCTTATATATAGGCACTACGAAGCGGCAATGTCGAGCATTCTTCCCATTTGATGCATGATCTGATGATTCAATAATTTTGATTATGAAATTCTTCACTTCATTCTTTTTGTTTTCTTTATAATGATGATAAACATAGGTACACTTACCATGACTGGTATATGCGAATTCGTCTGCCTGCCAATCCCCAACTGACCATGACTATTTCCACCCCAGGCGTAGAGATCCCCTTCGTCCGTGAGAGCTAGCGTGTGCACGATTCCGCAAGCTACCTTGACTGAAATAGTATCAATTGCTTAGTAATTCCATTTGATTTTCCATTTGATGAACGGCCTCTTGTTTTTTGCTGCTTTATCGAGACGAGAATTACCTATCACAGTGCTTTTTAGTGAATCGATTCGACACGGCGTTGTTCGGTCCTCTGCATCGATTTTTAGTGAATCGATGCGACACGGCGTTGTTCGGTCCTCTGCATCGCCTACACCCAGCTGGCCGTGAGAGTTATTACCCCAACCATATACCTCACCATTTTCAGTGACTACAATAGTGAAGGCCCCACCGCAAGAGATATAGATAACTTTCTTCCCAGCCAAAGTATCAACTTGATCAGGTGTAGTCTCTAGATAAGTGTCCTTGTCATGTTTTTCTTCTTCTTCAACCTTTTTTTCATAATGTCTTCTCCAAGCATATACCTTAATCAAACTGGCTATTCAGCAACTCATAATAATTATTATTGATATTTTGCTTACCTTACCAGACTCGGTCAGAGCGATGAAATGATTATATCCGCATGCTATGTCGACGATACGCTTTGGACCCTGATCATCTTCTGGAGGTATGTCTATTAAAGTAGGTATGACAACCTGATTAGTCGATTCATTCCCCACTTGGCCGTAATGGTTGTATCCCCAAGAGTATACCTGTGAACGACAGAAAAATTAACAGTCGACTTCGATCTAAACTCAGGATACTTCTCCAAACTTCTATGAGATCTAAGTCATATAAATACATTCAATTGATCCACTTCTCATATTTTATTGTGTCTAAATCTAGAGTGTGTCCTACATCACGTTGGCGACGCTCATGAGCTTAATTTCATCGTTGTGCCATCAAATAATAGTAACAACGATGAAAATGAATGTTAAGTGGAATTCACTCCAATTGACTTATGGCTTTATATAGTACATGGTCCCTTATAATCCTTTTATATTTTCACATACCTTTCGAAGATATTGTTGTTATTGTTTTTAGGCTTCACAAATACATCGCTTGATTTAGCATTTCATAAAATCTCTGGCAATTCTGCAGAATTGCTGTATGTATTAATGAGGAGTGATAAAGAAGAGAAATTCTTCATGTGTATGTGTTCTTTTGTACAAATATCTATTAAAGTCAAATGTTTAAACTTTAGATAAGTTATGTGATAATTTATAATGAATATATATATATAAACAAAATAGTAAAAGAGAATAAAAAATAAAATATTAAGAGAATAAGCTGAAATGTTTATCGAAAGGTAAAACAACCCAGGTTAACTATTTTGGTTGCATTTGTTTTGGATGCTTTCAACAATTCTATCCTTATTTTATGTCTAATGAACAATAAAAACAGAATGATGATTATAAGTCTTTAAAGCATCTGAACATCCAAACCAAATGCAACCTTAATCTTTTAGCTACTTTATAAGAGTGAAAACTTAATAGGATTTCTACAAAATGCTATTACTTAAACTTTAAGTCTTAAGCCATACGAAATTGACTATTCACAGTCAAATGTGAGAATAATTGCTTATGACTGGTCAATTTCTTATATCTTAAAACTAAACTTGCAATAATGACTTATTGCAGATAGCTTATAACACTTAACAAATATTTAATGAAAATTATATTATATGTATTCCAAAGAGAACAAATCAGAATTATATTTATCCTAGATGAAAAGAAAGGTGTTACAAGGATACCAACTAAAAATTCACTTGTAACCTTGTAGCATCCCTCTCCCCCATTCGTAAGCGCCAAAACGTGAGGTCCGATGCCATACGCGACGTCTTTACATCTTTCCTGCATAGAACCTTGATCATCTTCGGATATATAACGTGGAGACTGTATTCCCAGTTCCTAAACAACCACAGGTGTTGGATCCCAAGGCATACACCGTCTTGTCCTTTGTCAGGATTAAGGCCTCATTACCATCGCCTGTTTTGAAAAATAAAAGGTTTATTCCTGTCGCAAGATCCAACATGCTCCAACATGCTCCAACATGCTCCTACTCACTCTATCAAGCGCACTGGAGTGAGTAAGAGCTATAGCAGGAGCATATTGGAACATGTTGGAGCATGCGACGCGAACAACCCTAAAAAGTGAAGACCCAAAATTTCCAAAACGAGTAGAGAAGAAAAGAGAGCTCGTTACGTACCGTATACCATAACCATGTGAATTTGCGAGACGAATTCGGGCTTCAGTGAACTGACGACGTGCCTGCTACGTAGATCCGAGCACTTATTGCTTCTCGGGATCGTCTCTTCGCAAATGCTTCGTTTAGTCTCTCGTTATTTTATCTCGAGTATTCAACTGGGATCTTGTCTATCAACGGGCGTTCGTATTTATAGCAATTTATAGGTAGTTACCTTTGGTTACCTTTCAAAATGACGAACATTCGCCGCTAACCAACAACACAACTGACAACGGTAGTCAAATCAGGGACTGGTGGGAGTAGGTAAAGCTTGGTAAAGCTCACTGCTCAAGTCAACTCACGTGTTATTGCGCATATACAGGGTGTCTCAAAAAAAACGGATCGAAACACAATGGGGACGTAGATTGGATCAAGGGGAACAAAATAGTTTTGTACCATTTTGCAGTTGACGCAATATTTAACGAGATATTAACGTGTAAAGATAGGCGAATACAAGTATCCTATCTCAGTGAAAAAAATTGCAGTTTCGAGTTAGAATATTCCGCTAAACACAGCCAATAAGAATTGATGTCAGATACCGCCATCTTGCCGCGTTGATTTGAACCGGCTTCATATCATTATTCTTTTACGTACTTATTTGTGTTTCAATTTACTTTTATGTTGCATTAGCTGCTTTATTTTTAGGAGATGCAAATCGATACAAATATACACTCTGGAACACCAGTTTGCCACAATCAAATAAAATGCTATATGCACAGTGCGAAATTTTTTAAAATATCCAACTTTTATAAAATTCCGTTTAAAACTTTTCAAACGGTGTATTTTTCGATATATGTATATTACAAATATATGTATATTATAACTGAAGATTATATTGCGTCGTGTAAATTCATTTAATCGATCAAAATGAAGCTTTCATACATACTGCGATTCTCTTCTCGAGCAGTGTTGAAAATGTCGATTAAATTTGAACAAAATTATAAATAGGAAACGACGTTTCAGAAGTGTCGACTGAGAGGATATCTTCAGGATGTAAAATGTCTACTAAACAACGCGCCTTTGGAACGTTCCTTGAGGAACTATCACCCAGATAGCAACGTGTCTAACTTGTTGCTGACATGTTGCTTGTTAAATATGCATTGCTAAGCATGTGTTGCTACCAGAATTGCAGCAATTGAATCCTCATTTGTTGGCAACTTGATGCCTTCATGATATGATAACTTCGAGTAGCAACTTGCCAGCAGTTTGTCGACAACTTTAAAATCGTCATCATCAAAATTCGCACTACTGCCATCATGTTGCCATAATAATATACAGCATCATGCAATGCTTTCATATTGTCGACACACAAGATAACATTGATGCAGCTATCTTGCTGTTAAACTGCTGGCAATACATATACACATTGTTGCCTGCATGTTGCTACAATGTCGGTATATTCGAAATTGTTGAAGACAAATCTATGGCAAGTTGCCAACATCATAAGCAATCACAGATTTGTGTGATTTTGTTGAGACACGCTTTGCTATCTGGGCATGTGTGAAATTTTTTGATCTCCTGACTATTACCTGTTTTCGTGGACCATTAATATTCCATCATATGTTGTTTGTCTCTACAAAAATCACCAAAATAATAATTTATAAAATAAATGTGTCATTACATTAAATAATTTATTTTTAAAAGAGTAATTTCTTTCTTGTAAAGGACACATTGTAGGTTTTCCTTCATCAAAGGATACACAAATGAAAAGTATATTTGATAGGAGCTACCATAACGTTTCCTAATACAAACGATATTTTTGTCGCTTGTATGTACGGAAGAAATCATAATTTAATAATGTACCATGTAAAATGACGAATTGTGCAAGATCTTCCTCAACCAAACTCTTCAGGCAAAGCATTAAAGTACAAATTGTTAGAAAATATTAAAGAATCTTATTATACTAGCATTTTATATACGTATTTATATTTTTTAAAGTTTACTATTGGTAAACAAAATATATTAAGAATTTCATAGTTTAGTCCGCTCTATCTTGCTATGATATTCTGATGCGTTAATTTCCGGACACCTTGTATATAAAAGCTGATGGGAGAGAATGACATGTTTCAACGCTTACGTCTGTTTTTAGAATTAAACGTAACTGCAGACTTATGTTGTAAGAAACTTATCATAGTCGATTATACTCCTCATATTCAATTGCATTTTGTTTAATTTCTTAGGACTTAAGGCTTAAAAGCTTAAGTTCTAAGTTTTAAAATCTCATTTTAAATGCCGCTTTACGCAGATAACATCGTCATGGATAGTTTTTTTTTTATCTTTATGCAAACTTTAAAAGAATCTCAGGTACGTTTGCATGAACACTGTCTGAGAACGACGAAGAAATCTTTCGTGCCAATTTATTAAAACACGCGAAATAACTTGCATCACTAAACGCAATCGCACGCATTTACTACTTACATGAAAAGCCACTAACGAAATGTAATAAAAAAAAAATTAATAAATTATTGTAATTTCATCAAAATACGCGATTATGAAATAGATACCATATGGGTGAGTATTCGGGTAGACTTTTCTAGCGATTTCCATCTATTCTCAGTGAGACGCATTGTTCTTGATGGAATTAAACGAATTGCATTTTAAAACCACCAGCCTTGCTTGCCTTAATCATTAAAGTTTTCATCATATTCTGTTCCAGATTGGCAAATTTTCTGTCTGTACCACAATCGTCAAGTGATTAACGGCGAATTTAACACAGAATTCTTCTGGCTTCTAAAAAAATGTAATCGCCTGATATGAACCTGATATGGAAATTAGCTTCCCAGATAGCAAAGCGTGTCTCAGTAAAATCACACAAATCTGTGATTGCTTATGATGTTGGCAACTTGTCATAGATTTGTCTTCAACGTGTTACACAATGATCACGTCGTCTTAGTTTAACTTTGGCAAATAACATGAATGTAATGATTCATTGTGTTACATTATGTCATCTGCGCCTCTTACTGGAAAAATTCTAATAAAAAGTATGATACTAGCGAATAAATTATTATATTAATACATAATTTATAAATACAGTATGTAACAATATGTGCAAGATTGTTGATACAAGAAAATTACCTTATATGGGAAAGCTCTATATATTATCTACAGGAAAGTTTTAAAAATATGGAAAAAAAATTATTGAGAAAAGAGAGTTCCGTTAAATTTTTCATAAAAATTATTATGTAATAATAATAATATAATAATATAATTATATATTAATATGTAATTACGTGATAATATGTAATTACGTGAAAATATATTACAAAAAAAGGGAAAAAAACAATAAGATTCACGCGTAGAACGTCCATCAGCATACTATCCGCGCACTTTATTTGCTCAGCCACAATTCATTACGTTTTACATTTATAAATGCGGTATACATCACACACCGAAATTTTTAACAATATCTTGTTAATTATTACGCAGTGGCACGACTATTAACACGTTTACACCAGAGAAAGAATACGAGACAAAAGCTGGAGTTACCTAATAAATCAGTATATTAATGATTCAATACTTCACAACTTTTCTAGCAATGAAAACTGATGATGTCTACTGTTAATAACAGAAAGCTAGTTATCGAAGATATGATATATAGATATTGATATATAGATTTATCAGGTAATTCCAGCTCTATACTGTATTTATCCTATTGTTAACGCGTTTCAGTAACTGTATCAGTATAACTTTTATTTTTATTTTTTAGATAAATGCTGAAACATCCCAGATAGCCAAGCGTGATATACGAAGATATGATATTGTGCAAACTAATGCATTGCATATGTTGTTACATATTGGCTGTACATTTACTGAAATCAAAATAGGACACATTATAAATACAACATGACTGCTTATATATATATAATCAGTTGTCGAAATTTCTAGAGCAAACTGTAAGCAATGGTAGTACATTATGTTGTCAGCAACATGACAGCAACATGTTAGCAACGAATAATTAATCGTTTCATCTTGAGCATCATGATGAAAACATGACAGCAACAGAACATATATAATGATTTCTATCCGTTGTTGCAAATATGTCTTCAAGCTATGAAGTTTTTTAATTCCAGCTCGTTGTTAACAAAATGCTGACAATATGACAATACGAGTTGTTGTCGAGGATACTCAAATGAATTTTTCGTTAAAAACTCTCCTTCTCAGACTTCTTTTCGTTCTTCCGCCGCGGACTTCATTGCATCTCTTACAACTTTATAATGAAATGTAAATGTAAATGTAATGCAAATGTTTTTGTAATGTAAATGTAAATGTAATGCAAATATTCTTGTTATTGTTAATAATTCTCGAATATGTTTATTTTTTGTTTATTTTGTTTATTTTTTTATTACTTTTTGTTTATTTTTTACGAGCTTGTGTTTCTTATTCGCAAGTATTTTCCTGTCTTTAATCTTTAAACCGTTATAATCTAAAACTTTTTAAGTTTAAATTTCTGTAGCAATTTCAAACATTTGTTTTTGTAATATTTATGTTGGAATATGCAATATTGTTTGTAATTGTAACATTAATTTCAAAAATATAACAGATGAATGTATCACTCCTTGTTTCTAATATCTTCCTCATTATAGACATGACCTACAACGATTATCAATAACACGTTTGCTGGTAAAATATTATATTTAAATATAACGACTACCAATAGCACGTTTACTGATACAATATTCATCACGGAATGACGTGTCTTTCGAGTGATCTAATTTCTTTTAAAATATAACAGCCCGGTACTAAATTTTTTATACATAATTATACATAAACGGTTACACATAACTTATTTATACGTCATTTATTTAAAACGGTTACAAATTATGTACAACCGTTTATGTATAATTATGTATGAAAAATTTTTTACCGGACTGCTATATTTTAAAAGAGATAAGATCATTCAAAAGCCATGTCATTCCGCGATGAATATTGTACCAACAAATGTGTTATTGGTAGAAGTTGAAGGTCATGTCTGTATTGAAGAAGATATTAGGATTAAGCTGTCATGTATTCATTTGTCATATTTTTGAAATTAATATTACGTTTATGAATAATATTGCTCATTACAACATAAATATTACGAAAATAAATGTTTCGATTTTGCTACAAAAATTGAAACCTAAAAAGTTTTAGATTGGAACAGATCCCTAAAATTTAAAGACAGGAAATTATTTGTGAATAATTGATCAACATTTTACCTTGCAATTATACATTTACAAAAGAACAGCACTATTATGCATGATAAAAAATATAATAATATCAATTTGTAGATCATTAATAATATTTAAGTGTAAAAATTAAATGTAAAAAAAATATATATTACAACTTTTGCTCTGAATGTTCCAAATAATTATAGAAATAACAAAAATTAAGTATAATAATAAAAATTAACAAAAATACTGATGTGAAAATTGAAAACAATAATATTAGTTTACAAAAAAATTTTTTTACTTTGAACTGAATAAGGTGTTTCAGATAGATTTTTGGATGTTGAAAATGAAGGTACGTACTTATTTCTTATACAATTACATATAACAAGCTATTTGAACAGATATTTTATATATAATTATATAAATTTATATATGAACTACATTAGGTTTTATATACATATATACACTCATTTTAAATAATGCATTAAGATTTCTCGAAAACTATGGTAGATGCGGAAAAACGTTTCAAACAAAAGTTGAAACATAAAATGAATTTTCACTGCAAAAATGAAAATAAGATAAACGATCTCCAGACCTTGATCATAACAAATGTTATCCAGGACATGATCCTGAACAATATTCAAGAGGTTTTAGCCGTCGGTCGGATATCTTGCGTAATGCTAATGTCGGCGATAACATTCGAGCTTTCTAACTCGAGAAGTACTTAAAAATATTTTATTATAGCGTTTTGGGAATCTCTCGAGGTAAGCTACAAGAATATGCAATGAAAAATGGGAATTTCCATTAAAGAAATTGAAGGTGACCTTCACGTGATTTTCAAACGACTCTCCAAGGTCAAATCAATGGTACTATTTTATGTCTCCCTCCGAACCATACAACTTTTGTTTGAAATATTTTTCCGTATCTACCATAGTTTTCGATAAATCTTAATGTATTATTTAAAATGGGACATCCTATATACTTATATTTATACATGTATATTTATACATTCTCTTATGCCAGTTAATACACGATCAAATTTACGAAGAAAAGGAAGAGTGAAACAAGAAAGAAAACCACATTAAGAAGATGACATAAATCGAGGATAAGATATAACTGTATGTTTAGTATCATATGCTAACTTCAGTTTTTATTTATTGCCCTAATTATAACGTAAATGTGTCGCATATATTGTGAAGACGGATTAGGATTAAATATGTTATTTTTTCGATATTATTTTTGTCAGCGTATGTTAAAATAAAATATGATAAGTACCTCTTATATGAAATTTTGATTTTTAAGTATTTTATACACGCTGCTACGAGATAAATTGAAATATACACGAAGACAGGAGTGTATCTATAGCAAGCGTGCAACGCGTTTTATGTTTACATTAATTAAAATTATATTATTATTGTAAGAATAATTGTACTTGTCTTTACTTTACAAAGAACATTATATTGTGTACATAACTTCAATATATGAAATATTTTATCAGAGTTAGCTCCAACTCAAGTCGACACGTGTCATTAAAAGTTATGTAAGTAAAAAATATTCATTAAACACATTTGCACATAATATAAAGACATAATGTTGCAAGTATAGTTATGTTTATAATCATTTGCATCTTGTAATAGGGTAAAAGTATTAAATGCGGATCAGGCACTAGTTCCGGACTTATTATATTTAAATAATTATAGTATTTTCTATCAAATAATGCATATCACAAAATTCTTTAGCAATTGTTTTATCTTTTTCAAGTGTCAGTTGTTTTTTATTTATTAGCAAAAGCGCTGCACATTTTGATGTCGTTAACTAATAAAACGTAATACATAATCTAAGGTATGTATTATACTTTCAAAAATTCATTCAAAGTGAAATACCATAAGAAATACCTTATGGCTTTTACAGGAGGTAGTAAATAGCATCAGATTTCATGAAAAAATCAATATCATGCTCAAAAATTAAATCCAAAAAGGATAAAGCATTTGGTGAACTGATCCGCAATTAGTACATGGGGTCTAATTGTGAATAATTGTCGTTACTTCATTTAATTAAAATTAAAATATATAAAACGGTACCGAAATGAAATAAAATCATCCATAATGTAATCTTTATGACCAATCATAACTATTAAATATTTTATTAAATATTTGACATTGTTCTGAATAAAAATATGAATTTTTTTTTCTCAAGAGTGAACTACAACTGGTAGCCTTACTCTACGTACATATAAATAAAAATTCCTCGAAAAGAAAGGCAATCTAATCTAGATTATCTGTGTCTAATTTAGATTATGCGTCTATTCCATTATTCAATGCTTGCTGGTTAAACGGCATATACATACATTATCCCCCAGTGAACATATCTTACAGTGTAGTTCTTACAATGTTCTTAGAGGAACTGCAAAAACTATTCCTTAAATTCTTATAAAAAATATTAAAACGTGTTTGTGTCTCGTGCAGCAGGAACTAATTCAGTTAAAATACTAGTCAACGACTCGGAAACTATGACAGCGACGCTAGAAAGAGCCTTGGCACCATTAATGGTCATTGGCTCGTTCTGCAATTTGGGCATGTTCGAATATCCTCTTGGACGACCTATGCCGTATTTCTCTTACCTGTATGCCTTGGCCAAATGGAGCTTTCTTATGTACTACGTTTACTATCCAGTGTTCATTTATTATGTGCAGAAGCATGGAATATTTTACTTCCCTGTTTCTTATCCTTGGATCACCATTACATTAATTGTCATTGGCTTATATCGTTTTAAGGTAAAAATTTCAAAATGTACTCCCGGTCTCTATATAATAATATATTTGATTTTTTAACAATACTTACAATGAAATAAGGTTCCTTAACATTAAAACAATTAAAAGGTTAAAAAAGAGCCATTAGGAGTCAGCGCTGTAATAGGTGCACAAAGAATAAATTAACGGATACAAATTATACGAAGATATTGTTACATCAATCTTCGCGTACCTATTACAGCGCTGATTCCTAACGGCCTTTTTTTAACCTTTTAATTGTTTTGATCTTTTAATATTTCTTATACTTTTGTCTAACAATATTTTTAATTGAGAGTATTAAGGTAGTACTAGTGCGACAATACCGTTCAAAAGTTTAGTCCCGTCGCGGCGCTCAGTGGCGGAACTTCATTCCTGCCAGAGAGAAAGAGCACTCCTGCCAGAGTGAACGAAAACTTTCGATTGTTCCTGTCCAAACC